GTGCAGGCACTTGGAAGAGGGTGTAGGGTGTTGAAGAAAAGATGCTGCCTGCCAAGTCCACTTCTGGCTCTGCTACCTACTGCTGTGTGGCCTGGCCGAGTGGCTTAACCTCTCTGTGTCTCTGTTTTCTCATCTGTGAAATCAGGATAACAGAGGGATCGGTCCCTCTGAGTGTCCTGAGGATTAAGTGAGTCAGCCCTTGTAAAGCACTTGGTAATCCACCCAGTCAACATTAATGAGGAGCACTGGCAGTTAATGAATCTTGAAGAAAGGATCTATTGACATGGGTGTTTTAGGAAGACAGAGAAGGTTATCAAATATTTACCTACCAGTTACCACAAAATAGAAATGTAATCAATACTTATTCTGTATTGCATCATCATACGATTGAATTTCTAAGTGTTTCCTAAGAAGGGAAAAGAGTATTTTTTATAATTTTAGAAGGCTAGTAATTGTTCCAAGGACACTTGACTTGCAGCCTTGAGACGAAAGGGTTTCAAGGCAGAACAAACAGGATTTGCTCTCGATTGGATGGGAGGAGAAGGTGGGAAACAAGGCAAGAAACTGAGGACGATTGTTGACTTAAGAAACCAGAGCCCTGAACTTGGGGGGGCCCTGGCAGGTGGGTCTGCATGGGTTGCGGCTTGGACCTGGCACTTCTGGGCCCGCTGGACATCCACGGGCAGTGGTCCCTGGGCAGTTGGACCGTGAATTCTGGAGAAGGCCGCCGGACAAGTTGCTTAGCCGCCTCCCACCCTGAAACTCCTTTGCCTCGTATTCAGCAGCAGCTGCTGGGTGTATATCCTCTCCTCCCCCCAAGCCATTTTTTTGATCACTTATTTTTTTTCCACCATTTTATTCTAAAATATTTCAGGCATATAGAAAAATTGGAAGACTTTTATAGGGGAATATGATCTAAATGGGGAGAAGAGACTAATGTCCCATGCAGAAAAATTCCAAGTAACTGATACAGGTACTCACTCTCAAGGTGCAGGGGGAGGGGGGCAGAGGGAGTGAGCTAACGCCGGCTCCTGGGGTGGGGGCTGCACCTGGCGGCTCCTTCCTAAGAGGGCAGGATGGAAACAGCAGCCGCTCGGTGGAGAAGCCTGACAGCGCTACCTTGGCCAGGTGACATGGCCAACACTCACAGGGATAAGTCATGGTGCTAGTGGGCACCCTCGAGGCGATAGGATGAGAATGGCACTTGACTTGCGTGGTCTTCTTCCCCAAACCCACGGTCTCATTCTAATCAGGAGAAAAACATCAGACAAATCCCAGCTGCAGGAGAGTCTACAAAATGCCTGGCTGGTCCTCAAACTGACATCAAAAACCAAGGCAAGTCTGAGAGGCTGCACAGCCAGAGGCGCCTAATTGGACACGATGGCCAAATGTCATGTGGGATCCTGGATGGGAATCCTGGTACAGAAAAAGAACATTAGGGAAAATCTAAGGAAGTCTGAGTAAAATATAGACTGTAGTTAATAATAACTGGTCAATATGGGTCCACTGATGACATATGTACTAAACTAACAGAGGAGGTTAATAATAAGAGAAACCGGGCGTGGCTTATGGGCTCTCTCTGTACTGTCTCTGTAATTTTTTTCTGTAAGTCTAAAACTCTCCTAAAAAATAAAGTTTCTTAAAAAACAACCATATACCACCACCTAAATTCTACGCGTCACACTTTGCTACCTCTTTCTGTCCGTGTCTTTTTTTTTTTCACAACTCTCTTGACTTTTCACTCCTTTTCGCTCAAAACGGCACTTAGGAAGCCCCGGCAGCGGGCACGCAACACATCCAGGGTCTCAGGTCCTTTCCTATTTGGATTTCCTCTAAGGTTGCCAGATCTCCAGGGTCCGCAGCTGCTAGAAACAAGGAACTCTACTGCCACCCAGTGGACATTTTTAATTAAAGCCTTGAGCGCAGGGAAAGCTGGAGGTGGCCGGTCCGCCGGGAGCGGCCCTGAGCCCAGAGGACCCCAGCTCCTTCTCCACAGATCCCCCATCCCAGTTCTTACCTGCACATTTCCGAACTCTTCCCAGTTCCCGACTGTGCAATCATTTTGAAGGGTTATACTACACTTTTCTAAACAGGCTTTACTGGGAAGAAGGTGGCGCATGAGGGAATTGGGCGTTTTCCAGTTTTGCTAGCATTCTTGGGGGACCATGAAGATAAATTTTTGAGCCACGGGTGTGGCCTGTCCAGCTGCTTTTGAAAGATAAGAGTCTGGAGGCTTCAGCTGACTGGACCTCCGGGACAGGGGGACAGTGGGCCTCAGTCTCGGGCCTCAGGAAGCTGCGGTCACCAGCGGCCTTGCTGGGCTGAGCCACACGGTACCTGTTGTTGTCAGTCAGGCTTTGATGCACATACTGTGGTCACAGTCCCTCCTAAACATTGCGGTGAGAGGGACAGGGAAGGTGCTTCCAGAAGGGCAGCAGCACGGCTTTGCATCGTCTAAGAGGGAGGCCCGTATATGGCCGACCACAGGCATGGCTGTTCATGCTTCTGGGTTAGAAGGAACATGAGCATGGCTTAACTTGGGTCTCCCCAGGAGCAGAGCCTGGGACCAGGGTCTGAATGCTAGTCACTTATTTGGGACTTGATCCCAGAAAACCCTGGTACCGAGTGGATGTGAGCTAGAGGAGGGAAAGAATCCATTAAAAGTTATGTCATCAAACCACTGACATTGTGGCTTCAGAGCTCCGTCCTGCTGGGGAGCACTTATCTCTGCTGGGGGGCCAGGGCGCTGGCGTGAGGGCTGCCTCTGGGGACACTGATGGCTGCAGTTTTGGTGCCTTGGGCCACAATAAGCAGCTTGCAGAGGGCGGAAGTGCCAAGGGGATGGGTTGGAGCACTGCCAGGTCCTCTGTGTTTGTGTCAAGGGGGCCAGCACCCAACCGTACCCCACCCACCTCATCCCCAGTGCGGGGAGGCCCAAGGTGGCGCTGCCTACGGCTGTGGAGAGCACAGGACCATCTGGACATTCGCCCGAGCACGAGAAGGCGCCATTTGGGTTAGGACTGGGCCCCTCACCTGGCGTTCTCCACACAGGTGAGAATGTTAGGTGGGGTGATGCAAAGGTCTCTTGAGTCTGGAGGGGAGTGTGAGGAGAAAGGAGGACGCCAGCTGGGGAGCAGCCTTGTCTGGAAGCTTCCCCTGGGCTGGCCAGGGGCCCCTTCACTGGCCACCAACCCAGCTGCACCTCCACCAACAGGAAGACCCAGCTACTGAAAACTAGAGTTACTGAAATACTTGGAACACCAAGTACTTAGGTGAGAAAAGTTTATTACCAAGGAACAGGAGTTCTGATGAGGGAAAGCTCATCTGTGGAGAATATTGGAATATAAATCTTTCCCCCAAATCTGCCTTCCTGAAGTGATACCTAGGATGTGTTTCACAAATTGCAGAGGACAGTCTCCTGCGCAGAAACCTGGCAGTCCCCGTACTGAAGACCCAGGCACTCGCCCTCAGGAGCATGTGCTTTGCCTTCCAGCCAGTGGGATGCCCCTGGTTTTCAGTTCCTTCCCGATCACCACACAGGGAACCCATTAGCAAGGCCTTAGGGCCACCGTGCGCCAAGCACCCAACACGGACGCTGCCTGCAAGCTGTGAAGTGACACGGCCTCGTGCAGCCTTCACTGTCTTCGGTCAGCGTGATCTCTGGGAGGTAGAAGTCCCAGTGAGAAGGTTCGACTCGTGTCCCTACTAACTGTCCTGGGCTGTAAGCACTTGGTGGGGGGACGCGGGCTGGCTGGCAGTGAAGTGTTGGCAGGCGGAAGCTGGTGGTGGTCCTTTCTTAGCAGAGCTGAAGCGGGGGATGAGTTCAGACTGCTCCTGAGAGGTGTCTTCCCATGGGGTTTTTTTTGGGAGCCAGCCAAGACTTTCAGATTGTAGCATGGGGAGTCTTACCTTGTCCTTCATGCCTTGTAGAAACCAGATGGTCAGAGAGAGGGTCTGAGGCTCTGAAAGATGTGTATGGACAGAGATGGCCTGGGAGGACGCCGCTTGTAAGTGCAGGAGTGGCTGGAGGGGTGTGTCCTGCTCCTCTGAGGGGCCTTCCTGGCAAATTCCCAGGGGGGAGAGCTCACTACCTGGAAGTGGCTCCAGCCTCCAGGACGCACAGCTACGTGCCATCGAGCACTGCAGCCCTCACACTGCACTCGGTCACTATCTTGTTAGACCCTGATAAACAAGGGAGGCAGGAGAAGAACTGCACGTTACCACGGAGCGGCCTGGGGCTCAGTTCAGGGTTGTTTTTTTTAGGGGCAGGGGAGTAGGGGAGATGGAACACCTGACTGGTGACTGTTAGGAAGCGGAACTTGTGCTAAAGCATGAGTCGCGCCCTCCGTGTGGCCACTTCTTCCTGTCTGAATCCTGCGCTCACCCTCAGAGGAAGGGCAGTCACGAGTTTGGACCTTGGGGGACCCTGTCATCTTTGGAGAACGACAACATGCAAGTAGATGGAACCACTGAGAAGTGATAACAAATAAGAAGTGTTTTGAACGAGGGCATGTCCCTTGCTGTCACCTGAGGATGGGAGCTCACTGGCCAACAAGGGTTAACATAACAAGTGCCGACGGGCTGTGCGCTCACGTCACAAGGCGGCGGAGGGCACGGCTTCGGCTTCTTCCAGGTGCCCTTCCCCTGCCAGTAACATGAAGACGCCTCAAGCTTTACCTCAGAGCGCCAACTGTAAAAGGTTCCGGCGCCCAGGAGGAAGGATCTCCCCGCAAAGGCTACGGTGACAAAGGGATGCTGTCAAGAGGCCTAAGAACACCGAGCTGCGACAGGGAGGGCGACGGAGCCCCGTAATGCAAGTGAAAAGCACGTTTTTGACATGAAAAATAAAACCCTGACTAGGAAAAAAGACGTAGAGAGGGGCATGTGTGTTGCTTCTGGTTACCGTTTAGGACGAAGGTTGTGCTGGTGTGTCTCCTGCTGGGGCTGCTCCCAGGGACACAACTGCAGCTATCTGTGAGACATCATCAAAATGCACAAGCTGTTTCTCCAAAATTTTATTTTAATTTAAATTACAGGGCCAGCCAGATAGTCCGATAAGAAATTTACTTTTCCTCAGGAGAAAGGAAATGCTTTTATGGCATTGTTAACAATTGTATACATCCACCTTTTTTAAAGGGTTAAAATCACATTGAGTAACTGACTTATGTAAAAGTAAATCTTTATAACACAAAAGAAACCACTTCCAGTATAATAATTTTGGTAACACTCACATGAATATATTAAATGATCGTAAATTCAAATGCAACTTTTCAACTTTGAATGTTTGCACACTTTTGTTTAAAAACAAAAAGCCCCCAAATCTTGCCTCTCTCCAGATGGCAGTCCGACAGTAACGCCAGTAGCGCGTGGGTGTTTTCTTTGACACGCTGCCCCTCTGTCCTCCATGCTCTAGCGCTCCGTAGCCTTGCCACAGTGGAAGCTGTTTTGTTGTTTCAAGTTCAAAGCAGCAGCTTGCCAAGGAAACCTTTCTTCTGCTTGGTGTAATTAATGTTTTCACACTAAACCCAGACACCCAGCACTAGACCACAAAAACCAGACGTTTCACCACAGCCAAGTCTGCCTTCCTCAACATCTTGGGTGTTTTCATTTCAGGTTTTGCTTTCCCTACTGCCGATGGAAACAGATGAATGACTACACCGATTTTGGTAAAGACAGCCTCAGGAAAACCAATTATAATGTAGACTGCCATTTTAATTAAATAGAATAAAATGCATCGTTATTTTCTGGAGCTATTTTTCCTAAGTGGTCTTCCTAGAAGGAGGTCTTACAACCTGCTGAAACATCACTTGGGAGTCTCAATTTACTGGCTGATAAATAATTCAATTAGTAAGAGAGGCTAGCAAAGAACAATTATATAAATTTCTTAGTCAGCTACAGCCATGCTGAATCCGAACTGGCAAACTGATTTGTAAGTTGTTAGTTGTGATCTTCGTATCACTAAGATGAACAGATACCATTCTATTAACTTTACTCAGATATATTCTAGGAGACCTTGTTCTGCCGTGGTCACAGTAACAAAAAAGTGGTGCAAAATCAGGTACTTTATAAATACTGATAATTTGCAGCATTAAGGAATAGGACATTAAAAAAAATAAATTTCCCCATAGGACACCTATGACTAGGAACTCTTCTTTTCCTAAGAGAAGCCAAAGTTTTAATTATTCAGTTTCACAACTATTGTACTGGATTACTTACTCTAAAAAAGAAAAGGTGCTCTACAGAGGTTTCCCACACACACAAAGAATCAGCATTAATTTAGCATAATCGGTATCATTCATAGATCTAGCAAACTCATGACTCATTTTAAATGAATAAGGCCAATATTATGCAGGAAAGTGTAGCTGACTGAGTTCCAAGTCTGTATTTTAGCGTGTTGATGGCACCCATTAGATAACTGAATACAAAGGATTGGTTTACTTTTGTTCTTTTAATGCTGTGATACTTAAATGTTAAATCAGCATTTTCATGTGATCTGAAGTATTTCAATTACATATGAGCATTCGTTTTTTGCAAAAACTCAATATTAGGTAATAGTTACATACTAATACAATAACATTCCTCTGCTGTACAAATTAAATCATTTAAAAGAAATGAGCATTCTAAGAATTATATACAAAAGAAACCTGTAAGCGCTGTTGAAATGAAATGCAAGGTTTCGCTGCTAGTTCTAGTTTTAAAAGACCTTCTGAAAGGGAAATTAACAAATGCCTTTCAACATACCCAGGTTTACAAGTTTCAAGAAAATCAAATGTCAAAAAATTCTAGAAAGCTGTGAAAAGCATATATACATTTTCCTTATGACCTCATGAAGCTTCACACTTTTAAGAAGTTGCTAAGTTTCAGTATCAATTTATTCGCATGTCAACTTGATCCCCCCAGAAAGCTCACATCTTGGGCACAGTTCCTCTCTGACTTCAAACACAGCCCTTTAGCGAAGGCTGCCGGCCTCGCCAAGCATGCGTGCTCCGCTCTCCCACAGAGAAATGTGAACCCGTTGGTAGGTGTCCGGGGCCGTGGGATGCCCTCCCGCCCTACGCCACACTGTCATGTCACCTCTACAGTTGCCTTCGTGAACCTAGCCATGTTCAGAACTCCTACAGCAAACAGTCTTTGAATCCTGAAATGACACAAAGATCAAGAGAAAGTCCACGCGTGCTCTAGTGTGCAAGAAAGCAGCAGCTACGTTCTCCAACTTGGACTACGAAACAAAACAAGGAAAAATGGAAAACCGTTCACTTAACAGCAGATTAGCAGTAATGTCCCTCCTGGGTCGGTGGGAGCCTGATGCTGAGGGGCAGGTGCTGGGTTTGGATCTAATACTTTGGGTGTCTGTGGGGAGTTAGGCTTCCTGCTGAGCTGGTCTCTTCAAGTCCCTGATCTGTTTGACTAAATAGGTCTTCTCGTCGTTAAACTGCTCGTCCTCCGTCCTGTCGTTCTGAAACTTGCTCAGGAACTCGATGAGTTTGGTCTGGTTCTTGAGGAGAATGTCGAGGATGGGCTGCGTCTTGTTAGGGTTGGCGACGAACACCTGGCCGGAGAGAAGGCACCATCAGTCACAGGGGAGGGACGGATGCCTGCGCCGCGGGGAAAGCGCACGCGGAGGGGCCCGGCGAGCTTGCGCATGGGAGGCTCTGAGGCCGCACTGCGTAGCGTGCAGATCCGCACAAAAAAGGCCGGCGTGCGCATTCACGCTCGGAAACTCAGTGGTTGGTGTTAAATACGGACTCTGATTTGGAGATAAAATGGGCAGAAATTATTTCTGGGTATAGGGGCTCGGAATGGATTTTGAGAATAAAATCCTCCATGGAAAGCATTAAGAATTACTTTGTGATTAATAATCTTCTATGCCAAAGGTCAATGACACTCACCTACAAGGAAAACTTTTTTGTTCCCAAATCTAAATAGTATGCCCCATTTCTAGGTTTATTTTCTTGCGTAAATGTTTTACCACACAAATAAGAAAAGTGAATCGAACTGTATCACTTAGGTTGCCAAAATGAGGCTAATAATATTTCAGGAATTTGTAATTAATAACTTTGGAGGAAAATACTGTTTATACTTTTAGTACACTACCTTAAAAACGTGAAAGGCCTCAAACTGGATGTTACGACTTTTGTCTCGTAGAAGGTTCATCATTAATTTGAGGTTCTCAGGTTTACTGATGTACTTTGTCATAATTGTGAAGTTGTGCCGGTCTAATAGTAGTTCACCGAGAAGCTGGGAAGACATTTAAAGAATTACTCTTACATTACTGTTAAGATTTCAGGAAAAAACCAAGTTTAAAAAAAATAAGTCATTTAATAGTCACGACTATTAAGCACAGAATATTAGTAGGCACTCAAAAGACTGATGAATTGAACTGAGTATGACCTGAGGAGTTACCGAGTGCCTGCTACCTGCCACTTGAATACCTTCCGGGATTTAAACCTGTGGTGAGTCCATACTGATCTCTCAAAACGACATTCAAGACACACTTGGCCCCAAAGCTGAGACTGTTGGAGCCTGCCTACCTTTAAATTTGCATTTGCATTCTCACTAAAAGAAACTACAAAAGAAACTGTTCAGAAGATAAGTTGTTGATAATTCCTGTTAACTAACCGCAAACTTGAGCTTAATTAAAAACTAATTTCAGGAGCGGCCAGTTGGCTCAATTGGTTACAGCGCAGTGCTTGTGGCACCAGGGTTGCTGGTTCCATCCCCACGTGGGCCGCTGGGTTGCGCCCTCCACAGCAGGACTGAGGCAACTGCTTGACTTGGAGCTGATGGGTCCTGGAAAAACGCCCTCTACAACTAGATTGAAACAACTACTTGACTTGGAGCTGATGGGTCCTGGAAAGACACACTGCTCCCCCCAAAAAAACTGTTTAATAAAGGATGTTAACATTAAAAAAAAAAGTATAAGTATGTGAAAGCTTACAGCTTTCACTGGAGTTTGTTTTCTATCACAGAAATCAATGAAATACTGAAAATGCTCATTTCAGTCTGGTTATTTAGAGGTGGATGACTGATAATTCATTAGATTTCTTTGGATATAAAAATTATATATATATATATATATATATATATATATATATATATTAAATATAAAAAGTTTTGCACAAGGAATATAAATTTGCTGGTCAAATAAATACAGGAATAAATAAATGCCAATGTGGCTGCAAAAAAGAGAGTACAAATTAAAATCCATTTTTAAAGCACCACTGGTCCTCAAAAGTGCTCTGTGTGTTCATGAGGTATTATGAGCTAAAAGAAATTGTAGGTGTAAAAGACTTGCTTCACATCCATTATCAAGTTCTTATAAGTGGCAGTCTCAGTTTTCCTTTTCATGTTGGTAATTCTGAAGTGGCAGAAAGGTCTTGAAAGCAGCCCAAGAATTTAGAATTTGGTTCAAGTCTATTGATTTGCCAATAAAACAAGTTTCCCCCTGAAGAGGTACTAGCCCTGGACGCCACTATCCCAGGCAATCCTGTCTGGCCTCCTTGGCCTTAGCAGACACTGGCTCCATCCTGCTGCTCGCATCTGTGTGACTGCTGGGGACAGCAGGACACCTGGGCCCTCGGGTAGAGAGAGGTTCCTGGTGTGGGGCCCCTTCACTAGGAGGATCACAGGGGAACCTGTACTGTAGTCTATTACTCTGATGTCCAGGGAGGGGAAATTCCTTACACAGTTGCCAGAAATACTGGACCCACCCAGGAAATGAAAGGATTGTTCCTATCAGCTGTGAGAATCACTGGCGACCATTAGCCAGCACACCGGGGACAGGTTAAGGGCACCGACCCTGGACTAAACGATGGCTGGGAGGCTAAGCTCGAGCCACAGCCATGAGCGGGAGTGGACTGCTCTAGTGGTGTCACATTTCCAAGCTGTGGTTTTATTGGTCCCTGATGGTACAAGTTACAGCTGTAAGGGGAAGGAGGTAGCTGGCCAGATGGAAAGGATTCTTCTGGAAATGTGGATGGTAGAGAGTGTTCTTATCACAGGACACAAAGTATAACAGATGTTCCTCCTGTTCTTTAGTGAATTTCCACAGAGAGATAAGGTCTCCGAGTGATCGCCCCAGGGCAGGAAGTAGAAATAGGAAGGGGCTGCAAGCAAGACACCTGAGGAAAAGAACTCAGGGCAGAGTAGAGTTTAAAGTGGACCTGGCAAACAATATAAATGGAATTGTGATTGTTTTCCAAAGTCCTTTGTGATTCCATCTACAGTTCCTGTCAGAGAATGAGTGGTATGCATTTATTGACGGCAGTAAAAATTTCTGGAGCAGGGGTCAGCTGACTTTCTGTAAAGGGTCAGACACCCAACATTTTAGACTTTGCAGATCATACAGTCTCTATGGCAACCATTCAAATCTGCTGTTGTAGTCTGAAACAGCCATGGACAATATGTAAATAAATTCATATGTCTGTGTTCCCGTAAAGCTTTATTTACAAAAATGGGCAGTGGGCTGGATTTGGCCTCTGGGCTGTAGTTTGCCAACTCCTGTTCTAGAGTTTTAATTTAAGCCTTAAATTTAAGTCTAAGTTTCCAATGGAATTGTTCATAATGTATTTTGACACAAAGCAGCCAAATCCGTCTCTGGTTGGTTCATGCTCGAACCACCCCCGTCCCGTCACACGTCAAGTCTGGGCAGCACCCTGGGGAGGCAAGCCTGCAGTGCCTTCATCTAGTCAGGGGCCGGCAAACTGCAGCTCGCGAGCCACATGCGGCTCTTTGGGGACGTACATGTGCCTCTGAAGTAAAATTGAAAATGAAAATAAAACTATCAGTTTCATTTATAAAATTTTTAAAGGACATTATTCACATAATGGTGACTTCATCTGTTTTACGGCTCTTGAATAATTTTTAAATTGTTGTGAGGGACAGGATTGGCTCTTCTGTCTCAAAAGTTTGCCCACCCCTGATCTAGTTGATACGATTCTAAATTTTAGAAATATGCTTCAAATCTAAAATACTACACTGCTAAGAGAGAAAGTCCTCCTCAAAATTCTGTGTATTCCATTTTGGTATCTAACTTACAAGGAGGTGGGCAGGTGCCCCGTGTGGACCACTGCCGAACCCCATTCATTTCCACAAAAATCTTGACCATGGGCAAATGTTATTTCCCCCAAAGGTGTAAGGCCCCTCCCAGCACATCACTCAAATCCAAAATCCAAACACAGGGTGAAAAGAAATAAACTGCATAAAATAAATAATGTCATACCTTGAGTGACTGTCTTTTTGTCACATAATTTTCTGAATGAAGTAACTTCTCATATTCACTGAAGAACTAAGAGACAAGAAAACACATATCAGGGTTACTTTTTTTAAGACTGGTAGATGTTATAAAGTTGAGTGCAAACTTGGGACCCCGCGAGGGTCCATCATTGCCCAAGCTCGCCTGCTCCTGCCTGCTTCGCCCCCACCTCTGATGGGCTCAGACCCTCAGGGTGATGCCAGCTGACGGCCTCTGTGAAGAGGGCGCCTGGGAATGGCCCTTCTCAGGTCTAGCCAGGCCCAGAGCAGCTTAAATCTGGTCCTCTTCTGTCACCCAAGCTCCATATGCACAAAACATAACTCCCTTCCCCCCACTGTTTGCTCACTGTTGTCAGCTCTCATTTCCTGGTGTATTATTAGAAAATTGATATTCTTTACAGATGAAAACTGAACTAATCCAAAGCACAAACACAGAGAAAAGTAACCTGTTCTTTTAACGCATTAAGCAAGGAGAGAAAATAATTATGAATAGAAGAGAGGAGAAATTCAGCACTGTGTTAAATCGGTAGAACTTGGGCTCAAACTTGAATACTGGGAGGGGTTTACAAAACCGAGGGGAGGAAAGATATTTTGGGGAATAAAAAGGGAAGGACATGGCCTGAGTGAAGAGTTGGAGAATGCAAAACGCTCCAGATTTAAGAGCTGACAAGTGTCCAGTGGATTTACAAAATGGTGCTCACTAACAACAGCGTCCCTGAATGGTGGAGTACAAGCCGGATTCAAGCAAGGAACAAGGGACACACAGGGGCCAAGGCCACACTTTCAAAAAGTTAGGAGTTGAGAGTGCTAGCTCTGACAGACAGACACACAGACACACATAGTTTATTTGTTTTAACTATAGACAGGTTTTAAAAGTTCCCAAATTCTGTAGTACCAGCATGACTGTTGGATAGCAGTGCTTTTCTGAGGCTTTGCACTGGTTGTGGTGGGTGGGAGAAGGATGCCTGCTCTATAATTTGTCCGTGCTATTAAACTATTTGTGCATGCGTGTTATGCTGGGTCTTCAGCAGCCGTTCATCTGTGGTTTAAAGGAGGGGTTTGCAAACTATGGCTCTCGAGCCAAACCTAGTCTACCACCTGTTTTTACAAATAAAATTTGATTGGAGCACAGCCATGCTCTAATGTATTGTACACAAATTCACTTACATCTTGTTTATAGCTGGTTTTGCAGTGCATCAGACAGGAGAGCTGACAGAGACCATACGGCCCAAGAAGCCTCAAATGTTTACTGTCTGGACCTTTGCAGAAAAGGTTTTCTGACCCTTGGCTGAGAGCTAACCCAGAACCGCCTATGCATCGTTCCCTTAGCTCACCTCTAGGAAGAGGTGGGATAGCCATCGACTTACTATGCGAGCCGGTCAGACAAGGCTGTTAACCCCACCTTCTCCTAAGTGCTCCTCAAACCGATGGTCAAAACAACCTGAATGACCTTTCAGTTAGTGACACGAGGACGGACAACTCAAGTTCCTGACAGAAAATGCAAGTGAAGATTTTCTGCTATACAATTCTTAGCTGTAGGAAATTCTTCTCATGAGGACTGCCTGAGGAGTGTGGATGTAGCCCATGCATTCCACCAGAAGTGTTAGGTGCCGACCCAGGATTAGGACAGACAGGCAGGCACTGTGTGGGCTCCTCAAAGACCTGCTCTCAGGGAGCTGCAGGTGCTAAAGAGTCAGCATCTTATTCACTGCAGAGCCATCACGAGGACTGTGCCTACCACGTGGCGTGGCACTGTCATCTAATTCCCCTCCAGGAATGCCAATGGGAGACATTTGTTTCAGGTCCCATGCTAGAAAAGATTGAGCAACAGGCATCTATCTATCTATTGGGTTGTTGGGAAAGTCATGACGCATTTTTGCATAGAAAACAGAAAAAATACGTCATGACTTTTCTGACGACCCAATATTTTGCTTTACAGAGACTGTGATCCTTTAAATGATCTTTTTCCCCCTCTACGCTTTGGTTATTAGAAAGCTCAGAGTCAAGGTGTCTGGGATTTTAGAGCATACACTTTGGTGTAATAACCTCACCTCTAGCTTAATTTAAATGACTTCCATCTCCCAACCTTCCGTCTTCCTCCCTCAGATCTGACTGCACTGCATACATTTCTGTTAGTTGCCTTGCCTGGATTTTTCTAAAATCCTGTTAACCAATGTCATCCAGAAAATCTTTTACTACAAAACTAAACAGATGCCACTGCCTGTAGTACATTTCTTAGAAGCTGCTTTAGTATGTATCTTTGGTTGGCTTTAAGATACAGGTATGTTAAAAAAAATCTGAGGGTGGCCGGGTGGCTCAGTTGGTTAGAGAGCATGCTCTGAGCAACGGGGTTGTCAGTTCGATTCCCACATGGGCCAGTGAGCTCTGCCCTCCGCAACTAGACTGAAGACAATGACTTGAGCTGAGCTGCCGGTGGGCGGCTGGATGGCTCAGTTGGTTAGAGCGCGTGCTCTTAATAAGAAGGTTGCCAGTTTGATTCCCGCATGGGATGGTGGGCTGAGCCCTCAGCAACTAGATTGAAAATGGTGACGGGACTTGGAGCTGAGCTGCGCCCTGGGAAAAACACACTGTTCTCCAATAAAGTTTAAAAAAAAAAAATCTGAGACCATTTAATAGCTAACGTGTATTAAATGCTTCCTGTGCTCCAGCATGGCATGTACTTGACACACATCTTATGTCATCTCCACAACAACCCAGGAGGCAGGTACTATGAGAGCCTTCTTTAGGGCTACAGGCCCTGAGGGCACAGAGGGTGAAGGAAGACAGCTGCCCCCAAGGTCTGGGGATGACCATGCCGCCATTTTAAACCAACAAACACACAAAAAGAAACACACCCATATCCAAATACACACAGGCAGAAATAAACATAACTGACCAGCAATGTTTAAGCTATTTATGAGGCGAGTTACGGAGAACTTACTATGTACTGTGCATTGTGCTATGATGTTACTGGGAGTGGAAGGGAAAGGCAGGAAAAAAGTAACACAAAAAAGTTAGAAAGCATAGGTTTTGATTTTATAAGATTTTTTTTTTTTTAATTGGGGAATTGGGGGATGGGAACAGCGCTGGGGAATTGGGGGAAGGGGAACAGACAAGTTGCTGTCCTTTTGTTCTTCAGTCTAGTTGTGGAGGACGTTGCTTCACTGGCCTAAATTGGCACCATCATTGGGCTCTTCCCGGGCGAGGCAGATCAGTCGCCGGCTTCTGGACGGCCGCTCACTGCGGCTGCTGGCCGCTCACGCTGGCTGCTGGCTACAGGCTACACACGGTAGCCCATGGCAACCCACTGCAGCAGGGACTGCAGCCTACGCCGTCGCTGGCGACCCACGACAGCCCAGCTCCAGGTTGAGCTGTTGTTCAGCATCTTAGCTGTGGAGGGCAGTGTCACTGGCCCTCATATGTGGGATCCGAACCGGGGCCCTCTGGCGTCCCAAGCCAGCTCTTAACCAATGTGCCACTCGGCCAGCCCTGATTTTATAAGATTTTTGTAAGAGTGTATACAAATCTTATAATTTAGTTAAAGAGCAAAGTGAAGAATGATGATTAACACTGAGGATTTCAAAAATCCAAATGACTAGTGGAAGAATGGAAACCTAAGCCAAATCTTACGGAAGGAGTAGGACTTTTAAGTGGATTATTATCATCATTAACTTCTCTAAGAGCACTTAGGAGACCTCGGACAGTGTGGAAGTTAAACTTGTATGGCAAGGACGCGCTTGTGGGTCACGTGGAGAGCAGAGCTGCCACCTGGCAGAGAAGGACATCTGACACTGGCCTGGAGGCTGCTGTGACGGGCAAGGGCAGTGAGGTTATCAGAGCGCTCAGACTCGTGAACAAGCCAGTAGGGGACTCTGTTACCCGGAAGTCTGACACTGACTCAAGCTGAAGGGCCCACTGCTGGGCTAGTCCAATGTCCTCATGTTACAAATAACACCTGACTTCTGAGCTTCCCAGAGGTGGTGGCCTTGGTGGTGACAAGGGGTTAGCAGGGCAGGGGCAGAACCGTGTCCTGCCTCCTCTAGGCTAGCATTTGTCTCACTGTCAGCTGTCACCTCCCTTTTTATTTGTAAGCAGCACAAATGTGAGCCACTGATGGAAAGGGAGAATTAAGAAGTCAGATAATAATTTTCCTTTCATCTCAACTGTATACTATCATTCAGCACCAAAGGGCTTTATTTTCCCCTTCTAAAGCAAGAAAAGATACAAAGGGCAGTGTGTCAATCAAAAAGATAAAAGTCTGCTTCTGACCAAGTAACACTCTGTACCTCACTTCAGTAAAGAAACGATTACAGCACCATCTTAAAACATTGCATATGCAGAATAATTATTCTGGTATAAAATCTAATTGAAACCTTCCATTTCTGGAAACAAAACATATAATTTGCTATTTTAAAATAGTATTTCATATACTTACTCTATCATAATGCTGTTCCAAAAATTCTGCACTGAGCAATTTATGTCTTGTAAGTAAATCCTAGAAAAGGAAAAAATATTTTTAAAAAGCTGTTCGGCATTCAAGTTCTTTTATAAAAGAGTCCACGCCATTTTACCTAATAAAACCTGTTGTTAAAAATTACCATACTTAAAAACATTTGAGAATGAATTGGATTGAAAATGTTTATTTTTATGTAAGAGTAAATAAAATCAGTAATTTGAAATTGAGATTTTAACGATTATGATTAGTGACATGTCTATAGCTCTTAGAAGGAAAAATTTCAAATAAAACATATAAAGCAATGGAAATATATACTCAAACAAAGGGAATGAAGAATTGAAGTGAAAGAAGGGTAACAGTTGTGATAAAATGTCAAATAGAACACTGCTCCTGGTGGAGAAAGAGGAAATTTCTTTAATTAGAAAAAGTACTGGAGGTTCCATTTTCTTCCTCCTAAATCCAATTACATTCAGTTTCTTATCTAATGTAATTTTTGGTAGAGGTAAGATGTGTTTTAAAAGCCCTGTCATGTTATAAATATTAGCTCCTAAGTAAGCAGAATAACGCTGCAGAAATGTATTATAGAATAAAAAATCAGTATTACCTCGAGTCTAATTCTGCATTACTATGAGCTTATGCCTCACCCCATGGATATCCCTGGAAACTCAAGATCATTCATTCAGAAAACATCTACTATGTGCCAGGTAAAGTTCTAGGTGCTGGGGCTACCAAGAAAAAAGATGTGGTCCCTGTGTTATAGGACCTGGAAGTTAGCAATGGACTAGCCTTGGTCTCACCAGGTGGGAAAGAGAGTGGGAACATGTGACAGCAGGCATGGCCAATCAGTATGTGGTAAATTAAGGAACACAATTCCTTCAGAGCCACAGACTGCACGGGTTAGTACCAATAATCCCCATTCTCTGAGCCAACTTTCCTTCTTTTCTTTGCTGTTTATGTTTGAGTTACCCAGGTAACTCGTGTTTCCTGAAGTATGTCCTAGTGCCATACTGGTCGGAGAAATGCTCTTAAGAAATGTCCCAAGGCAAGCGAACGTGGAAAGCACTACAGCGCTGGTCCCCTCATGGGCATCCATCCGGTCGTAGGACCTTCTGCAGGGAGCTCTTGGTTGCCCGTTAGTACCATCCCTGAAAGGCCTTCACGGCACAGGCTTTCCCCTCTCGGTACCTACGACCTTCTGACTTCTACCCAAGCATCACTTCCATAGGAAACCCTTCCTGTGGTCACCAGCTGTGGGATTATTTAATGTCCCTCTCTCATGGTAGACTGTAAATTCTACAAATATAAGGGTCATGTCTATTTTTACTAATCTTTGGGTCCCCAGCACCTATGCAGCGCCCAGCACATAGTAAGAGCTTAATATTTAATAAATGAATGAACCAACAGAATCAGGGAATAAATTTGGGAAAACATCACATCAGGCAATGTTCAAAGTACAGTTTTAAGAAGGCTTCTAATTCCACCCCAAAGATTTACAGGTGTTTAAACTGCTGGATAGGGTATGAATTGTATGCCCAGGAGGGATTCTCGGGGATTAAACGGGCAAAACTGGAAAACCAGTTTATTCTGAGTACCTCAAAAGTCTCATAAGAAATGCGATGAGGTGTCCATTCTCATGTGGGGAAGGAGATGGCGGGGGTAGAGGAACTGATATTATCTCAGTATATCACGGGTCAGATGTAAGGGAGAGGAACATGAGAACTTCCAGGGCGTCTACCAAGCACGCTTGTTAAAGAGCACCGCCCCGCCCCTGCCATGCTTCTGCGGTCTGTGCGTGGGGTTTCCTGGTGGGAGCTTCAAGGGCTGGGGTCTGTCTGCATGGTGCCCAACACAGGGCAGGCGCTCAGCCTTGTGGAATGAACTGAATGAACACACACAAGCACATTAAGGGATTAATGGGTCAGGATCCATGTGACAGTGAGTGTCACGTCTCCTTTTTTGCGGCTACATCATTCTGGAGGCTAATATGAAGTAGTACTGAGAAAGGAGTCCAGTATTCAATGCTCTTGTCATAATCTGACCAAAGAGAAGGCCAAAGGAGGGGGTCTAACAGACAATGGCTCTCAGTCGGGGTTGGGTTCTTACCTGGGAACAGGTAAGCAGAAAGTATTGCTGTCAAAGGCAAAGGACCTAAAAACAATAGGACTTAGGCAGTGTCTCTGCTCACTGAGAGGAGAGAAAGCCTTACAGTAGTGACCAGAGCCCAGGGCTTCAGACAGCTCCAACCAGGGTGTGGGGCCAGAAGGTGGAGGGACAAGGCTACGCAGTCAGTGTCTGGTCAGCAGCCTGCGGAGTTTAAAGGGTGCGTGTGGTCCCAGACCAGGGGAGTCCCCGGGTCGGCCAGCAGGCGGAGCAGAGCAGGATTTCCCATTTTCCACAACACCCGGGGCCCTGGGATAACTTGGGGAGAAAGGTCAGGGGTCATCTTCCAAGTCCAGCAGCTTGAGCAGCCAACTTTTAGGGTGGGTTGAATTAAAAAACAGATTCCTGCAAGTTCTGTGAGTTTGGGCCCCAAACACTATGTGATGAAGAGCCCTGCAACCCCGGCGAAGACACGCTGCTGAGCCAGGGGGTTTATTTTCACGGAGCCTTGGCAAATCGTTTGGCCCAATTTCCTACTTGGTGCTTGAATATATCCAAGGACAAGAAACTCGGTTCTTCTAACTGTGTGGTTCACCTTTGGAGCTCTCAGAGTTAGGAAGTGTTTCCTGTGCTCGCGTCAAAGCCCATGCCCAGGTGGTTTCCAGAAAGGGTCAGGGCCGACAGACACAGGTTTAGTCCATTTTCTAGAGGACCGCCCTTCAAATACAAGTAGTGCTCTCATGGCAAGTCCCTACCGAGTCTTCTCTTCTCCAGGCTACATATGTCCGTTCCTTTAACCACTCCTCGAATGACAGGTTCTCAGTCCCCCTCACCATCTACTGTCTTCTGAAAGTCATCTATTTGTCTATTGCCTCTTAAAGGGTAGCACCTGGAATGGAACACATTTATGCGGTGTTACCTGGTAAGCTTATAGTGGGCTGAGACCATCAACAGCTCCTTAGGTCACACACTGTGTGGTCACATGTAGCTTTGGGGCAGCAGCATCGGACTGTTTAAGTTTACTGGACGTATCAGAATTTTGTTTACTCAGAATGGGCTCTGTAGACAGACTGCCTGGGTTCAAACTCTGGCTTCCCCATTTATTGTCTGACTTCACTCAACATTTCTAGGCTTCAGTGTCCTTATCTGTAAAGGAGATAATAACAATACCTCCTTCATGGGATTGTTTGAGTATGATAAGAAGTTACCTACATTTTAGTAATTATTACAATCAGTGATTACATTAGTATTAACTATTATTATCACACTTTATTCCCCTGTCCCATATTTATATGGTTCGGTCCTCAAGTGGAAGGCCTCAGTTATCTGTATTTAATTTCATCCTGTTACATTCTGGCCTCTCTTGTCTTTCTAAAGCCTTATTTTAGGATCACTGCCATATTGGGATATGGCATTCAGTCAGTTGTGAATTACACACTGAAACTCCATCTAGCTCCTAATCTTTTTATTGTTTCCATGAAAATAGGTCTGTATAATTAATTATTTGACGTCTAGATAACCTCAGTGTCCTAAAGGCATCCTAATAGCTACTGTTTACAACACACATACTGTGTGGAGTACAGTCACCTGACATACTAGTATTACTAGGTATATTTTAGCAGGTGAAGGGACTGAGGTTAAATCAACAGCAGAGCTGGGACTTGAACCCAGGCAGCGAAGGCCTTCATCTGCTGGCATCTATGAGATTAGTATGACTGAACTTACTCTGAGTGCATCAATGCTGGCTCGGGGTACACAGTTTGCTTTCCAAAATGCTCAGAAATCATCCCTTTAGAAATACTTTCTAGAACCTAACACGGGTATAACATCAAGCGCCAAGCTCCATCAGCCTCTCTGGGGAATCTACCTCTTTTACTCTGGAAAATTGGAAATATATTTGTGGGCCTCCTGATGCCCCTCTCAACCTCCTAATTCCTTACCAAACAAACATCGCTGACAAATACTTGGCCACTGATTTAACTATCTCAGTGCCTTTCACTCGAGCTACACATCTTGGACACATTTAGACCAGCTCACTTTAATTTCCTTTTAAGACTCAGCCCTGTTCCAGGGGCTTCAAATCCATGAATGAGCCGCATTTGTCTGAAAGTCTGTGTGTACAGAGTGCATTTCCTGGGAGGTAGTCTGCTCACATTGTCAAAGGAAAGCCCGAGCCATGGATCTGCTCTGCGTTTCCATGACGAAAGTATTCTCTGCAAAGGGGACACCAGCGAGCAGGGGAGTCTGGTGGCTGAGACCACCCTGTGGAGTTTCCTTTAGGGAGGGGTGGGAGAGAGCTTGGGTCTGTGTGATGGGCCTGTGCCACTGTCAAATCCCTGGTCAGGGTTTGGGCTCTCCTCTATTTTGTTTCTTGGAGAGCTCTCTTTAATCAGCTCTCCCCTTTCTATGTAATCAGTAGCCAGCTTCTCAATGCTCTCATCTAGAGCTCATCCTTCTAAACTGCGTTGCTTTTTGAAGTTTCCGCCCAATCTTCCCGTCTGTGGCTACCAAGACCTGACAGGGCTGCTTTACCCACCGTGATTCCATCACCTTGGTGAGAACAGAATTCAAAGAAGCAACCCTGAGGTGAAATTACCAGCAAGGCCAGTCAAGACTTTGTCAGATACTGTAAATCACATTTTGGGCACATACTTAGCACATCTGTCTCCTCTTGGCCAATTCTGCCATCTGTGCAGGGGGCATGGTATCCACATCCTCCGCTGGTCAAGGTGGTCTGGCCGTATCTCCCACACCACTGCTGTTCCTCCCTCCTCTCCCCTCACACCCCTGCTCCCAGAGAGCTGCCACCCTCAGGCTCATGGCTTGCTCTCCACGCAGGAGTGTCTCCTGTTCTCGACACATGGTGCTACTACACCTCCCTTCGTAATGGGTCTGCTGCTTCTGAATGGGGGACACCCTCCATTAACAGCCTAATCTTGAGTCCTGCCCCAAGTTACCTCATTTTATTTTGCTTTGCATATTGACATAAACACCTGAGGTCTTACCTAAGACTTCTGACATCCCTGTTCATGGTCTCAGGAAAATAAATCCCGGGCACCTCTCTCACTATAATTTTATTCTCATTCAATATGAAGGCCTATTGGCCAGGTAGCCAGACTTTCGTCCCATTTTAAGGGTGCTCATTTGCTCTGAAGGACATATTTTACCCTGAAACCAAGGCCCGTGTTCATCGCAGGGGCTCTTTATAATCCTAAAACTGAACCCTTACAAGAAAAGTGGTCACTTCTTACTGTGACAGTGGTTCATGGTTCCTGAGCAAAGCAGCCTGCAGGTTAGTACTAAATTCTGATTATATTAAAATAGGAGTTCTCAATATTCACTTACAAGGTCAGACATTTTATATAACGGAATGTAACATAGAAAGGCTTGCTCTCATCGCCACTAATAAAGATAACTGCTTTATTTGTACAGCACAGAACCTTACAACTCAAAACAAAAATGTGCATGTAGTACAGTGGTACCCATCTTGTGTGTACCGAATCTGTACAAATACACAGCAGGCTGGTGAGGTCGATGGGGAGGGGGCTACACAATAATTTGAAGGGTGCAGGCGGTTCACTTCCCCCGCACCCCCCCCCCATTACTAAACCAGCTCTGCCACGTGCATGAGATGGGAGAGGCGAGCCCACTGTCCCCTTGGGCCTGAGTGTGGGAATCTCTATCCTGAATGTGGGTCTAGTATTTAAAGACATATATTTTCATCACCCTGAACAGAAGCCAACTACTTCATCTGGTATTAACAAAAGAAACTGCTGTTGTTATGCCCAACATAGGAGAAAAACCTGTTTGTTAGAGGCACTGCATGTTGATATACTTGGTGGGTAATTTAACAGAAAAGTGTACTTTTGTCTTTTAGACATTCTAGAATCTATCTTTTCCATCCTTTTAAAGCTGTGACTCTATAGTGTATACCTGTCACACATACACATATAAAACATATCTTCTCTCTTCCCGCTAGGGGGCAGCCGTGTATAGACTAGGAAACAAGAGAAGGTTTAGGAAAAACAGCACACCAGTTAACCTGACTTGCAAGTAGATTTAGAATTCTCTAGTTTTTGTATATGTTACCTTGAATGTGGCAAATGCATCTGAAGCTATGTCAAATGTTGACATTTCGACATATCTGAAGAAATCATAAAACTGTTCTGACCACAAAATGATTTTTGCAAGTGGTTCATGTCTGATGCATTCTCTTAACATTATTCCACAATTTAGAGCTATTTCTGGAGATTCATACCTGCAAGAAGAAGAAACAAACATGATTGTTCTTTTAAAACTCCAACATTGAGTAGTTCACATTTTTAGAACAAGAAGCTGCAGACGTATCCTAGCTAAGTGACCAGGGCAGGTTACAGACGGCACCTCTCGCAGGACACGTGCTCAGGCGCACTTCCTCTGGATGGCACACACACACTAGCTAGTGACTGCTTCAGCCCAAAGAAAAATAACAGCCATGAGAGTGATCGTGTGAGTAAAACTTCATTATTAAAGCTAAAAAATTGGAAAAGAGGTATTTAGGGCCGCACCGCCACACAGTGGGTTAGTTTTATGGGGTGCTCTCAACACTCCAGAAAAATCAAAAGCTGAAGCAAAAAACAATATGAAACAAAACAGTTTCCTAAATTCACAGTATCTAAATAACTCTGTCAAATATACAGCATTTATACTTTATTGTTTCAGTTCAAAACTCAAAGTAGTACTTTCCAGACTCCTGAGAACACGTAAACCCTACAGAGTTCAAAGCCTGGTCCTGAGGATGTCACCAAGTCAGGGGCAGCCCTACGGCCTCTCAGCGGGCACAGGGAATGCCACATGCAGCCCTCCTCTACTGCCACCGCGGCAGCCCAGGAAGAAAACCTCGTGTTCCTCTCAGCCCCCCGCAGCCTCTTCCTCCGGACTGGCTCTGCCATTCCACTCCACTGCCTCTCCTCTTTCGAGCTGCACACACTGGTTTAATGCCTTCCCACCCAGTCTCCTGCAGTCAAATTCCATTTCCTAACGTCCCACTAGCAAAGACCTCCCTTGGCCAAATAAAACCGGCTTTTCTCATAACACAGATTCTGCTGCTTAGTGTCCCGACGGTGCTGATCTTCGCAGCCCTCAAAGAAAAAGCTCTGCCAGGTCTCCTTTCTAACCCTGACTGTTCCTCCTTCTTTTTTTCTTTTTCCTCAATCGCCTCCAGCCTGCCAGTGAATGGCCATCCAGTCTCCCGGCTGCCGCTGCTCAGGTCTACCTCTGACCTACAGCTAGGTGTTGTCTGGACAACTTCAGGTAAAGGTCTACCATAAACTCCACATGTCTAAAATCAAATCTCCTCTCGCTCCACAAAACAGGCCCCCTCCCCTGCTTCCTCATTTCTATAAGTTGGCATCACTGTTTTGTTTCAGATACCTGGGTCTGAAACACGTCTGAAAGAACTTTCTGTAATAATGGAAATGTCCTGTATCTGTGCTGTCTGTTATGGAAGCTACTGAGCACTTGCAATTTGGCTAATATGACTAAGGGATTGAATTTTAAATGTTACCTCATTTAAACAAATTTAAAATTAATAATGACGTGGCCAAGAGGTGCTGTATGGGGCAACAGTCCTAAACCTTACCCTCTTTATCTGCTCCCCATCTTCCTATCTGCAGTGTCACCAGCCTTTTTTCAATGTGTCTTTGAAATACCTTAGTTTCATTTCCTTCTATCCCTTCCTACTGCTGCACTAACTCCCATCTAGAGAAATCCAAGTGCTCCGAACCAGCACCTTTGCTCAAGCTCTGTCTTACCAAATCTACCCAACACACACGGATATTGAGAGCATTTCCACCTCAGGAGTTTAAAACGATTTCTTCTTGTAATCAAAGACAGACTTCGGGGCTTCCCCTCATCAGATCTATTCCTGGGACGCCGCCTCCCACTCCCCCATAAAGCATCTGCTTACCCGTGCGGCCGCCCATCACCATGCTTGTTCCCGCCCTGTACCTGCTCTCTTTTTTCTGCCTATGCAAATTCTAAACCATCTGGAACTTTAATCTTCAGTTCCACCTCTTTTACCAACGCTGGCGTTACTGACTAAACCCACGTTTTATCCCCTGAAGTCCTATGGTGCTCACTGTATAATCCTAGTAGTGGTATCCTTTTGTTGTACATAGGTTCATCGTAGGTCTCGAGAAGATCCCAATGATATTGCTTTGTATCGCTTATGGCACAGCAGCTGGACTGCTGATTGGCTCTCAGGTGACGAAAATGTCTGCTCACAAAATGGCTGATCACACAGTCCATCTCTGCTGCTTTTTAATAAGCAGGAGACTAGAAAGACAAGGGTAGAGTTTGGTACAACAAGTTGGGCAGGTTTTGGTGGTTTGTCAAGCTTATCTTACATGATTAAGCCACAAACCAATGAGTACAAGGCAAACAGTTATGCTGCACAACCTGTTATCACTGGCGCGCAGAGCACCTTCACATTTACATTGCCAGAGAAAAAAATTACTGCCTCCAGATGCACTAGTCTAACAAGAAGGTTATTTTCAAATGCAAACTAATAGTGGCAGCATAACTCCCCCAAAGTACTTACAGCCTGAGCATAGAATCATATTGTATGAAAGTAGTCTAAACTGACGGACTAAAGCACAAAAATCTTAAAAAGGTGGTTCACAGGGCTCCTTGAAGAAATGGCTGTTTCCAGTCCACGGCAGGGCCCGGTACAAGATGAGCAAGGGACATTTGTGCCAGAAAGCATGGAAGCTGTCAAAGACCACTGGGGTCTGGCTAAGAGGACACAGGAGCCAACCTGAAGGAGAGAAGTCCGATGACCCATGATGGGGCAGTTTGGACAGACAAGCTTGGACGTAATGACTATAATGGACTGAGACACATTAAATATATATATATATATATATATATATATATATATATATATATATATAT